GCCAAATTATCTAGAAAATGACACTTACTGTCTAAGGTTTTAAGTCAACATCTCCAAGTTGGTGCCAGAGGCTACTTACTACCTGGCAATCCTATTCCTTAAAAAAAAAAAAGCATCCAAATCTTTTTTACAGTTCAAGCAGCAAGGCAGGGGAGCTTCTTTCATGAGTGGTAGTGAATTCCAGGGCTTCTGTTCAGAATTAAGTCACTTACCTCAAGGTTCCAGACAGTCTGGAATCCCAAAGTAAGCCCTTCTCCAGGGTGGTAGCTTGGTGTAGAGAAAAAAGCTTGAAAACTCAAAAGCACCCTACACATTGTAAGGGCTTATCATCTTTCTTCCCCAACTATGGAGCAGTCTAGAGAAATTAACCCTCTCATTTGTTAACCTCAATAACAGGCTTTAACAGATCTGTAGCCATAGATGGCTCAGGTAATTGCCCTAATTAGTTTGGTATGGAGGGAGGCAGGGGCAGCGGGCACTTGGAGCTCAAAGTCATTAAGCCTAAATTAAAAGAAAAAAAAATCAAGAGTGTATGCCTTACAGATTTGACATATGGATTCCAGATGTTATGAAAGACATTTTAAGGTTAAGGCTTTCAGGCCACTTTTTGTAGTTAAGGAGAGGATTGGAGGGGAAGGCCTGAAGGCAGAACATGGTAAGGGAAGAGAGGAAGGTTCTATTGACTGGTAAAGCCTTAGGAGCCATGTGCGTATGTGCACGAGTACACACTGAAAAATAGCAAAAACAAGCAACAGGGTCTTAAAATACCCCTGACTTGTGAGCCTCAGAGGAGTTATGTCTGAGTTGACCTGCTTATAGCTTTGCTGGCAGACAAGTCACCTTCTAAGTTGGAAGTGATTGTTTTGTCATTTCCTTGCAGTTTCTCTCAAGAATTCTAAATTTAAAATGTTAATGCAAAGTCACCAGTGTTTTGGGGGAGGTTGCTAGAATTTTGATCCCATTTAGAAACAAAGACAGGTCATTATACCAGGAATAGAGCTGCACTTCTACTTCAACAGTATGCACCAAATCCTGTTTCTTCTCCTTTTTAAGAAAATGGTAAACACAGGGAAAAGGAGTTCCAGACCCTGGGTACCAAATATTGCAGACATACAGGAAATGACTTTTCAAATCCAGCCTGTAAGCCTGTCATTTCATGGGCTTGTCTGTGAGCCTAGAAAAGAGAGGCAAAGATCACAGAGAAGACATTCCTACATTATGGGAAGGCTGTACCCGGGGACCTCTGGAGGACTTCCCATGCCCCAGTGCTATGATTCTAAACTCAAGCCATAATTTGAAATGTTAGAGAAAAGCCAATGAAATTTGAGGCAAAATTTGTACCATAAAGCTGTCTCACTTTGCTTTAAAAAAGCAATTAAAAAGATAAAATATATTTTTAAAGGAACAGGGATATATTCTCAGCCCTATTGCTTTAAGGCTTTCAATTAAGAATACCCAAAATATGTGACAATTAAGCTATGAAGTCACTGAAATGTACATTAATCCTCTTAAAACATTTACACATTGGCTTTCTTTTTATATCAATCTAATCTATCCGAAAGATGTTTCTGATGTATTCAACAAATTCTGCACCTTTGGTGAACTGGTGTTGGATTCACTAATTGTCCAAATATTTGTGTTCCGAGTGCTTTCTAGTGGTAAGACATTCTTTGAATGAAACTGGCAGAATTAATAAATCTACTGGCTTATTCAGGCCCTCCTTCCTCTCCTCCAGTGTAGTGAGGAAGCCCAGTGGGCCTGGCAACAGAGTGCCTGCCCTTCCCAGTTCTAGCACCTTGAGCAAATCACTTCTCTGCACCTCAGTTTTCTCCCCTGAAAAGTAGGGCTAGTCATAGCACATACCTCACTGAATTGAATGAGTTAGTGCATGTACAGCACCAAGAACAAGCCTGGCAAGTACTCAGTAAATGTTGGCTATTATTCATTTAGTACTGAGCATGGGGGAATGCAATGTATGGGTCCAGATTCAGAGAGAAATAGAACAAGATATATAAGGAAGGAAATGCTTGAACTGCTTCTTGGAGGATAAGGCAGGGGGGAGGGGAGTTTCACTAAGAACGCAGATGAAGGCTAGGCTAAGCAACTTGTGCAAGAGAAGGCACAGACTGTGAAACTAAGAGCTATCTGGGGAATTATAAACGATTCATTAAAGCCAGATTAAGAGGTGTGTGAGACTGAGAACCTTCCAGGTTTACTGACCAAACCTATGTTTTGGGAAGCCAGGCAGAGGGCAAATTTCTGGGTTGACAGTGATGCCATTAACCAGAAATGAAATAAGGTAGGTGATATGGGTTCTGACACAATGTGTTTGGTTTTGGACATCCGGTATGTGACGGGCCTTTGAGACCCAAGAGGAAATGTACAGTTGGATACACCGATCTGGGGCTGACACTTGGCTGGAATCAAGAACCAGTGTGGAGAATAAGGGAACAGCGCAAGCTACGTTGGCATGCAAGGGAGGTGTACGGGAAGGAGCCGGAGAAAAGAGAGACATGAACCAGGAGAGCACAGGGCCCTGGAAGAAACCAAAGGAGTACGAAGTTTCACATCAATTGGGATGTTTTTGAGGGAAAATGACAGAAAACTTAACTCAAACTGGTTTAAACTGTCAAGATTTATTGGCCCATATAACTGAAAACACAAACCTCTGCTGGATCACCCCTAAGCCTGCGGTGAGGAATTCAGCTTACCATCAACATTTAGCAGTTATATTGAGTGCCTACTATGTGCCAGGCATTGCTCTTGTCAATAAACAAAACAGGCTAAAAGCCCCACCTCTGGGGGCAGTACATACAAATGCTTCTTGGTATCTTTTTTTCCCTTCTGCATTAAAATGCAAATGCAATGCTTCAAATTGGGAAAACTATCTAAGTGGAAGGAGATCAAGAGAGAAAGCTTTAGAATTTAATGATGAAAAGTCCAAAACACTTGCTGGGAATTTCACACCTTTTTGTAAGACTGCCTGGCACTTCCGTGCTAAGTGATAATGGAATGGTAAGAAGGGGGAGGGGAGCATTCCGTATGGATAAAAAGCTCTAAAATCCAAACCACCACCATGGATACATTTTACAGTCCAGTTGTGGATTTAAATTCATCAGCTTTAACATATTGAGTTCTCATTCAGAACTTAATTCAGGTAACTGTAAAAATAATCACATTTTTCAAATATCTCTGGTAGGGCTTTGTATCTAACTTAATCATGTGGCAACACGTTTTATATGTAGGTCATGCCCAAACTTGCGTTAGTCCATTCATATTTTAATTATCCAGTCTCTCATTTGGAAATGATAAAACCTACCTCATTTGGTTTTTGAAAAATAAAATATTATGTGATTCAACTCTGTGAACTCAAAAGCACTATACAGCACTAAGAATTAAGACCAGAAAGTTGCAAGTTTGCAAATAAGTTGATATTAGTATTTTAATGGCTAAGCAGCAGTATCAGTTTTCTCAATAATGCTCTTTTATTCCAATTAGAATGTCTTAAACTAACTGGTGTAACCTGGGAGTTGAACAAAAGAGGTTAAAAGATTTTCAGACTGTGGCTTGCTGGGCTTTTTTCTGTGGGGTTATGGTTTGCTTTCATGCTAATTTTTTAATCATGTAATATTTCAGTAACTTCTGAGATATCTGCTTTACCAATACATGAATCCAGACTATACATTTTGCCTCATAATTATGATTCTATTTAATTTGGTGTCACACAGGGTCATGCTTTACCAGTTGATGCTGCCCTAGTATATGATACCACAGGCCTCCAAATTATTCACACATATACTTCAACCTTAAACAGTTTCTTACTTTGTCAATTACTTCAACTTTTAGGATTCACCCATTTCTAAACCTAGAGGATAAGCAGCTGTAGAATTGGTTTTTGTAAGTTTGACATGTACTAGAAACCATCATACTGCTACGTTCCTTTCTTATTCCACAAACCGCCATGGCTGACATAGTTTTAATGACTTACAAATTTTAATCTATTTGATCATGTTCCCAACTAAACAAATTTTATAGTTTTTCAAATGTTGGCTTCCAGTATGGGGGGAACAATTGGACTGGGGGATTTTTTAACTCAAAAACTAATGTCTTTTCCTTATACACTAAATGCAGTGTCCTGTAATTAACACTGTCTCTTAAAGGCATTAAGATTCATGGAAAGACTGATGCAGTGTATTTCTCCTTTATACTGTTCAAAAAGTTACAAACAACAGCACTGCATTTTGGACTGTAGAAGTCAAATTCAAAGATTATCTTCCTGACTACAACCTCGTAGATTTTCTTGATTATTACTATATGCAAAGCATTAAAATAGGAGCTGGGTGAGAAAACATGTCGAAGTAGGATTAGCAGATAAATTACAAGATGCCCAGTTAAATTTGATTTTCAGATAAACAAAGGATTTTTTAGTATAAATAGGTCTTAAATATTACATATACTAAAACATTATTTGTTGTTTATCTAAAATTCAAACTTAACTGTGTGTCCTGTATTTTTATTTGCGACATCTGGCAGCTCTTTGAAGATCTTTATCTTCAGCAAACTTACTACTTAACAGGGAAATCAATGAATTGTCATAATATAAGGCATATATGATACGCAGAGTAATACAATCAGGTGAGGAGAGGATCTCCGCTAAACTACTACAGAAGAGTACCTGGAAAAGATGCCAACTGCAGTTCCCAAATTTTGATTGCTGGATAGGTGGTGTAGTGTGATGATTTTAGAGTTCAAGTGTTGTGAGTAAAATCCCAAATTCACTGCTCACTAGCTGTGAAACCTTCGATAAGTTAATCACTCTTTATTATAAAACAAAGCTACTAATACCTGCTTACTAGGCTGTTTGAGGACCACAGACAATGTATGCACAAAGCACCTGGAACACAGGAGGCACTCCCTAAATGGCAATACCTACTATTAACATCACAGGCAAAGAGAGTATCTGTTGCAAACACTCAAATGTTAATGTTATGCAGTAATAGTAATATTGAGTAAGTAATTTTATTTCCATGATCTATTTACACTGTACACACACTGTTGAAAAACACCCTACAAGTTCACAGTACATTACAATATACTTACTTTAAAAATATATTCCTTTATAAAAGGTTCATAGAACAGACATGTCAACATGTGACAGAAATCTCAAAGCATGTCACCAGTTCTGTGATAGCAAGAATGCTTTCAAGTGTTGTCAACTTCAAAATCATAAGTCACCATTTGAGTTTTAAATACATACAAGTTTTAAATAAAAAGTGAATTCTACAGTGGAAAGTTCCTGCAGCAACACTTATTAGTTAATTAACATGTACTTTCATGGAGATAATATTTCATAATAATTTACAATATCAACTTATCTGCCAAAAAAACCCATTTCATCAATTAAGTTTTGCAGTCCAAAATTTGTCATTTGTTGTTTTCTACTTTTTCTTCTTTGTTGGTTCTCCTGGTTCTACTTTGCGCTTTTTAGAAGTATGCTCATCTTTTTCATCATCTTTAAATAGGAAAGGAAGAGTTCAATCAGTAATTTTTCAAAAGCATTAAAATTTCATTGACTTTATAACAGTATCATCACCCTCAACTAATGTTTCTTTCAGACTTTCCCAATAAAAACCCCAAATTAACTTTTAGAACTATGATTTTTAAAGTGCAAGTAAAAAGAGGAAATTTTTTTTCAATTGTTATACAAAATTCACCTTTTAGCACCATACTTAAGGTAGCTTAAAATAAGCAAATCAGATTTGTTCTGAAAAAGCTATTCCCATGTATTCTACAGCATACACATTGTGTATCTTTAAATATATAATCTACACTTTGTACAAGTGGAACATATTGTTTATTTTTTAAAAATCAATTTAAGCGGCTATCAGTTGTTCTTTCCCTTCCAATCTTCTCTCCCCTCCAAACAAATACCCTCCTTATCTTATCCCTGGGCCCCTTATATTTTGCAGTAAAAAAATAACNAAAAATCAATTTAAGCGGCTATCAGTTGTTCTTTCCCTTCCAATCTTCTTTCTCTCCCCTCCAAACAAATACCTCCTTATCTTATCCCTGGGCCCCTTATATTTTGCAGTAAAAAAATAACTCAGAGGTAGATATTTCACTGAAACTGTATTTTCAATTATGTCCTATGTAGTTAGTTCTACTCCACCTACCTTCACTCTCCCATTCCTAGGAGGATAAGATTATTACACTGGTAATAGAAAAACAGACATCTTCCCTCCTTCATATTGTGAAGAATTTTGAAGAGGGAGGATGGGGAACCTTACATTAAAACTATGTCCTTTATAACTTTTCAAAGATGTTATGTCTGTAGCCACAGAAAATTTCCAATTAATATAAATGTCAAAAATGAAAAAGTGGACCTTTTATTCAACTTAAAACATCCAAGTACGTTTCAATAAAACACAGGGTAGCATGGATGAGCTGCTAACTTCCCATATCTCTGAACAAATGTGTGGCTTTGAGAACACTATAAAGATGGAATAAATAATATGTAGAAGATGACTTATAAAATACAAATTTATTTTAAGCACATTACTGAATTCATTGTACATTTGACTTTATTTTCTCAATCATTAGATACTCATAGTTCAAGAACTATCACGTGGTGGTCTATAAACTATTTTGATGTTGAAAGGGTCTTTCATATTAAAAACTTTGGGAAGCCACTGGTATCAGATCATAAACTATAGAGGAAACATATTTAAAATCTTAAATCTTCAATTTCCTTCTGCTAATTGTACCATACTCGGAATTATCTCCTTTGTTGATATGGACAATGATTAGTATCAAGAGCAGGTGATTCATTTTCATTCATATTCAAACACAGCATGGACATGTTATTCACACATTTCATAAAGCACTATGGATTTATGTAGACAGTAAGATAAAGGACAATTCAGACCAACAAACGATCCCAGGAATTTACAAACCAAAGTTTTAATCAGTAATTTATTATGTATACACAAAAATCCTTGCTCTATAAACCAACTAATATAGATAAAGCTCAAATAAACCAAGCTTTTGTTTTTTAATTGGAGTTTAGAGATTATTTTCAGTACTAATATAAAAATTAATATTATTTTCTAACTCTACTAGAAAATCTACTGTTAACATACATTAAAAAGATGATCTTAAGACACTTCTGCCTTTAATTCACTGCTTGTTACAAGTACATTTACTGAATAACAACAAAAACAGAAATTACTGAGGCTGGAAAAATAAGTTCCTATCAATGATTTGAAGAGAAGAGCAAATGCCATCTAGTGACATAACAAGGCATTGCCTTAGAAACCAGAGCAGGAAAACAACTCCAAAACCCTAAAATGTTTGTTCATCAACTTTACTACTTTGTGCCATATACTATAGATGCACTAGTAAGAAAATAATTTTTCTACTATGGAATTCATAACACCAGAGGCAAATAAGTTTAAATTCTTAATACAAACGAATTTTCTAAATTAAGAAAAGAAAGCATTAGCTAATTACTTTGAGCTAAGCTTTCATGATTAAGTAATATTAAGGGCAGAAAATGGGAAGAAAAAGTAAATACAGTGACTTGGTAATCTAAAAACTTAGATAACTTAAGAGTACGGAGTTTAATACAAGGTATTTTATGAACTAAAAAAATAGAGGTAAAAAATGCTAGGAAAATTGATTTTACAGTGACTTTGTGTATATGGTATGGGAATCTGAAATGGCAAAAAAAAAAAAAAAATCACTTCAAGAAAGGAAGGTTTTTATTATAAAAAGAAGATAGATTTCAGGATTATCTTTTAATCTTGTGATTCAGCTTTAAACTGGTTGAGTGTTTTGGGGTCCTTTTGTTTTTTGATATTGCTAACATTCACTTGCTGATGGAGGACTGTCATACGATCAAAAGGTCAGAAATCAACTATGGCAATAGTAGTACTGTTTGCCGCATATTTGGAATTCCTTCTATCTGAACTCAATAGACAAACTGGGAAAAAAGAATTCTTTCCACTTGTTTGTCCTGGATATATAATCCTCGCCTTTTCCATAGAGGGACAAAGGAGAGCACCTGCCTATGGCACTCTAGTTAGAATGTCAACTCTAGTGGCCTTAGTGCCATTCTTCCTATATAGTATTTCTTAAGCACTCTGGCTTGAAAAACATCAAGAAACTAACTTCCAGTTTAATAATGCATCATTTCCATGTAAAGACCTTTATTTGTGACAGTATCTATCTTAGAGCTTGCCATTTTCCAGTTTTGTGACTTTGGACAAGTCACACAAGCTCTCATTTCCACATTTCCCAGTCTGTTTTCACAAGGTGTTCTAAGGATTAGAGTATTTATGCAAAAGTGTTTTTTATTAATGACATAAAATACTATACAATAGGAATTATTTTAAAATGTCCCCTTCACTTGGCATCTTCAAAAAGATGCCATTTACTGAAAATGTGCTTTGGTGACTTCTAATACACATTGGGAAATCAGTGAAAGAAATGAAAAAGCCAAGTAGAATCAAAATTAAAGTAAGAACTACCAGTTAGTTACCCTTCCTCTTAAAACAAAAAAAACTCTCTACAAGTTTGTAAAAGAAGCTAAGTAGATTGCCCTTGTATTATAATATGGGAAGATCAGAAATGTGTTTAACAAAAATGGTACACCCTTTCATTAAAATGACAGTCCAAAATATTTAGTCCAATTCAACAACTGTCCACTGACTACTCAGAATGNTGTCCACTGACTACTTAGAATGTACAGTACAAACTGTGATACAAACTGTGATAAATAAGGCCTGGANAACTGTCCACTGACTACTCAGAATGTACAGTACAAACTGTGATACAAACTGTGATAAATAAGGCCTGGACCCAGCCGTGTAAGGAACTTATTTTCATAAAGGAGATAGACTGTGAATAATCAATCCCATAGAAGGCGGTAAGTGCAATCAACAGCATTAGAACACACAAGGTACAGAGGAGCAGGTAATTAGAGGGAGGTGTTACCTGAGATTTTCTTCTTCGAGTTGGATTTTAAAAGATAAATGAGTTTACCAGCCAAAGAGGAAGAGAACAACATTCCAGGCTAAGGTGCAACATATATCAAAAGGCATGGAACTACAAAATAGCACGTTCTATTAAGTTTTGAATTTTAAGATCTGAAGGTGCTAGAAAGGGGGCCATGTGAAATGAGAGTGGAGGGAAAGGCAGAGCGTATCACAGAAGGCTTTGACACTATGCTGTTGGTGAAGGGTGTTAAGCAGGTGAGTTACACAGCAAGGTATAATTTTTAGAAAGTGAACATTAGCTGCAGTGTGAAGGATGAAATTGGGGGACAAAGGTGTGGCAGCAGAGATTAATGTGATTACAGTGAGGGGTGAAGTTACGATATCATGTACGAAGGCAAGACAACTAAAAGCCATCATCTTCCTGTTACCATTTTTAATTACTACATAATAATAATCAGTTAAATTCATTTTGTCACACTAACTTTGGCTCTAAAGCACAGCTGCTTTAATATAAAATAAAGCCTTCACAACTGCAATCACAAGAATCCATGAATTAACTCCTACTGTTCTAATAAGGCTTGGGGTATCAGAGATTTCACTTTAAAGCCTGAATAATTTATGATCTTTCTCTAAAACAGAGCAACTACTACTGGTGGAGACATCAGAGCTCCAAAGCGGATTATACACTATCTTTTACAAAAACACAGTAGAAAGTATTCAAAGACCATCATCATCAACTAGCTAACTGGCCTGATGTAAATTTCATTCATTAACTATCTCCATCTTCTTAAACTCTTCACAGGGAGCGAAAGGTGTAGCCACCAGGGTCTGACTCTCCTTACCTGATTCCACTGTCTCCTCCCCTTCTGGGAGAAGCCTAGCTTTCTTAACGTTCTGTGGGGCATCATCGCCATTGTCCTCATATATGTTAGACCATTTTATTGCCATATCCAGCTCTGGAGGGGGAGGTTTCTTCTCGGTAGTGTACGACTCCGGAGGTGGTACACAGTTTGACTTCCAGATTTTGAATTCCTTTGGAGGCTGTTAAGCAAACACATTAAGCACTGTGAGGAACCGAGGTTCCTATCATCGGTACGGGCACATGCACCTCCCTGCCGTTCGATTACTGTTCAGGCTGACTTTTTTTTTAAGTTTAAAGATACTTTTCTTTTTTTTTTCCATCAAAATCACAATACCGTTAAGTGAAAAGCCAAAGGGTTCCCTATACGAATAAAGCTAATAACTTTTAATTACCAAAGAAGAATCCAGTCTCAGAGATACTACGCCAAGGCTGACCCCTTCAGGAGGCTGCAGCAGACACTGTCTTGGAGGCAGCACCGCAGGCACTTCGGCGTCAAAGGGAAGGGGTCTCGGGGAGAAGCTGCAGCGGGGGGGCGGGGGGAGTCACCACCGTTAGTCCTGGCCACGCAGGTCGGGGCCCCGAGAGCGGAGGTTTGGGTCTCCTCACAGGTGGGCGGGGGCTACGGGGCCGATCTGACACCCACCAGGCTGGGGGAGGGGGCCCGGGCTCCCCAGGGCTGGAGGTTGGGGGGTGCGGCATCCCGCAGGGGGTGACTGCGTGTGGGGGAACAGACTTCCGGTCCCCAGGAGGCGGCTCAGGAGGGAGGGGGCGGAGGCCGGGACCAAGACCCAGAGCCGGGGTCGGGGACCTCACCTCCTCAGGCGCCTTGACGACGTGCCTCTCCCAGTCTATCTGTTTGTTGAGCGGATTGTAGAGAAAGGCCGGGCGAGTCACGCTCCGGAACAGCTCGTCGGGGCCCGGCAGCTTCTTGTTCCCGCAGCCGCCCGCCGCCTTCGCCGGATCCGGAGCCCTCCGCCTCGTCTCCTCCGGCTCGCTGCTGTCCTCCTCGTCCGAGGAGTCTGAGCTGCTGCTCCCGTAAGCTGCGAAATAGCTCAGGGGGTCCTTCTCCTCGGCTGCCATCGCGGCGACGCGCGACGACCCAGGGCTCCGCCGGAAGCCGGAAGCCGTCTCAGGCCCCGCCCCGCGGCTGGCCCCGCCCCAGGTCTCGCGGATCACCTCGGGGACTGCGTCCCCTGGCGGCTGTGCCGCGCTACTGCTCCCGGCTGAGGGACTAGGGCTGGAGAGGCGGGTCGTACTCCCAAGGAGGCGCCGCTTTAACTGAAAAGAGACAGGTCCGCGGTCAGGGGTCCCAACCAAGCTTTCAGCATTCGATAAAAATTTATTAAAAGCACAGAAGAGCTAAGAATGTTGTCATTTCACTGCCACCTTACTAGTTCTTGCCCAGAGAAAACCAGCATTTCTTCCTGATCCTGCTGCATGTCCTCTTCAAAACAGAAAAAAAATCACTGCGTGCTTCCCTCCGTCGTCACGGAAGTGGACTCATCGAGTCACAGAGCCCCCTCCTGGTTGACCTCATTTCAGTGCAACGGAGCACTCTGATGAAACTTCTGGATTGCATCCCACCACTCTGGGGGCGTGTAAACTCTGGTTTCTCATCGTCAGCCTCCTTCCACGCCTGCTTTGCTCTGCATGGCCCTTAAACGCTGGTGTTTCTCTTGGTAACCCTGAGCCACTAAAGAGGTCCAGCTGCCCTGCTGGGGATACCATGGAGAGAAAGAGCCCTGGCCAGCTCTCAGCTGGAACATTTATGCCAGGTAAGGTACCAGACATGCGAGTGAAGTCATCTGGAATCATCCAGCCCCAGTTGAGGTTTTAGAAGTTTCCAGAATGACCCTAGGATGGACCATTAGAAAAACTATGGAACTAAACCAGCCCAATTTGCAGAATCATGAACAAATAAATGTTATTTTAAGCCACTAAATTTTGGGGCAGGCAGCATTAGGGAACTGAAAAATACATCCAAAACAGACTCTTATTTCCTAACTTCAATACTCCACCTTTCCATCTTCCCTCTCTCTTTAAATTGCACCATTATTAATTAGGGGCTCAGTACAAAAATCAGTCATTTTAAGTTTAAAATATATTCCAAATCCAAACACTTTTAACCAGTTCTACCCCTACTAGCCTCTTCTTTTGCCTGAACAATTGCAGTAGTATTTTTTTCTTTATTGCTAACTTTTCTTAACATTTAATAATCTTTAAATTGATTCAGATTCATGCATTGCATTTAGTAGTCATGTCTCCTATTCTCCTTTAACCTAGAATGATTTTCAGTCTCTAACTTTAATAACCTTGATATTTAGAAGATTGTAGGCCAATTATTTTGCAGAAGATTCCTCACTTTGAGTTTGTTCAATGTTTCCTACTGATTAGATTCATAGTGGTGGTGTCTTCTTTTCACTGCATTCCATTAGGAGGCATGGGATTTCAATTTGCTCTGGTACTGATAAAAATCACTAACCATAAAAGAACCAATCATTGGGCTTAAGATATAAAACTTTATCAAAATAAACCAAAACACTCAAAACAAAAAATTTTGAAAAAAACAAACTTACATTATCCTGGCTTGCCCCTAATTTGCCAGTGTTTGTGCGGCATGCAGACAAAACGGAATTACCTTTTGAAAAAGTGAGCTTACCATGAAAAGACATGGAGGAACCTTAAATGCATGTTGTGAAGAAGCCAATCTGAAAAGACTATACACTATATGATTTCAACTATATGACATTCTGGAAACGGTAAAAACCATAGAGAATAAAAAGATCAGTGGTTGCCAGGATAGGAAGGGGGAGGAAATAAGGGCTAAGTGGAACACAGGACTTTTAGGGCAGTGAAACTACTCTGTATGGTATTTCACAACAGTACATGACATTATACATTTGTCAGAATTTACAGAACTGTACACAGAGTGAACCCTAACATACACTATTAACTTTGGTTAATAATAATGTATCAAGACTGGTTCATCACTTCTAAAAAATTATCACACTAATTAGAGATGTTAATATGGGAAACAGGAAGGGAGGGAATATATGGAAACCTGGTACTTTCTGCTCAAGTTTTCTGTAAACCTAAAACTGCCTAAAAAATAGTCTATTAAGTTTTCAAAAAAGCAATAAAAAGTGAGCTCAAAGGTGTTTTGTGTTAAGTGTTAATAGGTCACCTGTAAAAAGTAACTTTTCCACTGCCACATTAATCAACCTGGTAACCAGTTGCACTGTATCATGTCAATCATTCCAAGTTAAACATTTGTTGGCAATGGCTGTTTTTCACTGTTTAAAGGGGGGAAAAATGACTTCATAGGATTCAGAAAACCCAAAAGCCTAAATTTGTTAAAACCTTAATTTTATTGTCTATATAGTTATTCAACAGTTTAAAAGAAAACTCAGTGTTATAAACTATAAATATAGGTGCTATAGCATATCTGAGTTATGGTCTTTGATTATGAGTAAAGTCTATTTAAATTTTAAAAAGTAAATGCATATCAAATTTTAATTAATAAAAAGAAGATCCTGCTTCTGCTTTCAAAATAGATTTATTTAAATGTAATGCCACTATTTTCTTAAGTTACACTGGACATGAACCATGTTTCTCCATGATACTTAGAAAATGTTTATACTACAAAAATCACCCAGTCTTTAAAATTTTTTAAAAACCAATATGCCATTCTTCATGACAGAAAAACTCATCAGTCTACCCAGAAATGCAAATTGATCTCACAACTTGAAATTTTTCTATAAAAATTGGTACATATAAAATAACTGTTTTAGATATTTATTTCCTACTGAAGAGTTTGAAACTTCCAAAACACAGTACTACAATTAAAAAACTTATTGTTAATAGCACATTTCCACCTCTGCTTTTTGCAACTAACGCAAATATATTAGATGGATATCAGGAAATAAATTATAATGAGGGTATAATTTATAAATGCGTAAATTTAGTCAAACTTTGTTATATAACAAAAGGACAAATCTAACTAATGGCCTGCTTGTTCCAAATAGTATTAAAAACAGACTGTCACATAAACAAATGGAAAAAAGCCATTTTGTTCTAGTTATTTCAACTTGTACAGTGGTGCTCATTAAGAGGATAAAAAGTACAGAAAAATTATTTTTAAATCTCATCAAATTACATGTAATAACAGATTTTTGTAAAAAATTTTTCTTTAGGAATGAAAATGCTAAAGCAAAGAATGTGAAAATCTTAAGAAAGTATTAGGAATTAGTAAGGTTAATAAATGTATTTTGGCAAATTGAGATCTTAGGTGGTTCAAACTCCATCGGATGTTCCTCTGTATCAGAAGGGGACTCTGAAAGCCAAACTGAGTAGGAAAGAGATTTTTTTTGGTTCACTGGCAGTTTTCCCCAACAGTGATTCGCTTTATTACCAATTAGAAACAGCTTCATCCTGAAAATTTACTGCCAGATGGTTGGGAAGGACTATTAGACTATGAAATTTCTAGCACAAATGCACTGAGAACATCATTCTCAGCCTAAGACTCTATTACCAAACAGAGATATGCTCCCTATTAAAACTGGCCTTCAAACATAAAAAAATGTGAAAACACTATCTCAAAAATGAAAAAAATCCCCATATAAAATCCTAAAAAGTACATGATCAACATGATTTACTTTGGCTATCTAAAATAAAAGTATGCTTCTTTTATTCCAAAAACGTCTATTTACAAAGTGAGCTTACATTGCATTTAAAAAGACATGTGTCAGGTGTTAATAAGTCATTATAGCAGTTTTATAAAAAGATTCATATCCTTCCAAATATTAGTCATTATTAAAAAAAATTAAAAGGCTGTAAACTGTCATTGCCGCAAAAGAGCACGTGATCTTAGGGGAAGAAACATCTCACTAGAGTTTCCACAAGTTCCTTCTTCTAACTGCAGCTCTGGGGGCAAAGGAGGAGCCCCAGGGTCCCCGGGTCTGGGAAGTGTAGTTGAAGAGAAGGTCGGATTTTCAGTTTTGCCTACTTCTAGAACAGGCAAATTCAGAGATGAATCAGTAGAAAAAAAGGGGGCTGTGCTGGATTCTCCTTCTGGATGGTACATAGTGGATGCTCTCCGTTTTTCAGAGAAATAACTCTCATCTGAATTGGATCTAGAGAGGTTGTTTGTGGCTCCATCTGGAAAAGGTTCACAACTGCTACATTTTAGTCCTACAATGAAATTATTCAGATATCAATAAAAAAGTAACAAAAAAAATCTAGTCCAATTTTAAAGATTACAAACCAGTCACCACACAAAACTTAAATAGCAATTTATAAATTCTGTCATAATCCATTCCACATTTCATTTGCTTTTCCCAACAATTATGAAGTGTATATAATTATTTACATTTTCTAGGTAAGGAAACAGTCTCAAGGAAGCTAAATGACATGCTATAAACTCACTTAATTTGTACACTTATATACTTAACCATTGAAGGACTGGAGAAAAACAAAGTAGCCCCTAAAATTTTTCATAAAATAAGAAATGGCTTTCACAACTATTATTCTTAGCACACTGGCACAAAAAAACATAATCCAATAAAAAAAATTTAAACATGGCATATGCTAAAATTCTATGAGTTAATTAATGCCAATTACCGAATCTTGAATCATAGAGTATTAGAAGTAGAAGGGATTTTAGAGGTCACCTGGGAGAGCCTCTCATTATTAGAGATGGGAAAACGGGCCCAGAACAGTTAAGTCATGCCCAGCATTCCAGGACTACTTCATGGGAAAGGGAGAACTAGACCTCAGGTCTCCTCTTAACATTAAATAATGTCCTGGTTCTCAACCTAACAATTTACTTAAATAATGGTGGTTGTTCTGGATCAAAGGATTTCATCATATCAAGAGAGTATATCCAGCAAACAATTAGCTTCAGTGTAGAAAGAATAAACAAAAACATAGTTTATCTTTCTTGTAGGCTTAGCAAACATTCAACCCATAACTAACCATAGGCACAGAACCTTCTGAGTTGACATATTTTATGTAAAACCTGGAAAGTTTATAAAGCACATTTATATGTCCTTTTCCCCCCACCAGTTTTTTAACTTCACAATACATTCAGCATTTCTGTTCCATTCTATAGAAACTATTTTCCTAAATATGGCTCAAAAGGGGAAACTTCCAGTGTGTTCCAGCATGAACTTAGACGGTGAGCTCCTTAAGGGCAGAGCCCTTACTCATTTCTGTATCCCTAGTGCCTAGAGCAAATGGAGTACAGCTACATCACATTCACATTTAACTCAAGTGCTCTGGAGAGAGAGAGACAGAGAATGAGGTGGGGGTTTGGGGAGAGAGGGGGATTTAAGTTGTATAGGCAATTCTACACAACATTCTAATCAGTGAGTGTGTGTGCTCTGGGGTGAAAAAGGAGAGGTGAATCTGCTATTCCTTAATCAGTCTCAGTTCTTATGCCTCTCATTTTGCCAGACTAAGTGTGATTCTAATGTTTAAAGTTATGTATAATTTATACAACATGGTTCTTATAAACATAGCCAACTACTTCATCTTGTGTCAACTGGTAGGAGAAAAACTATGAGTTGCACTTATTAAAATACTTTGCCTATATACTATTCTTTATGTGTTATGTGCATTTTCAGGGGTTACTTTTGAAAAGATTAATCTCATATTCTGCTGACTTTAGAAACAAATCCCTGTGTAGATTGGAACTTTATTATAGCTAAATTTTCTATAAATAATATTGTTAAATGAATATAAATACAGAACACTAATTGATTTCCCACTTTTCCAATGTAAGGACATCCTACTACAAGGTTGAAAAATGCAAGTGAATGTAATTCTAGAGCTTAAACTTTTCAATTAAAGCAAAAAAATCATTTCTGGGTTTTTTGGTTTTGTCTTGCATTTTACTTTTAAAAGCATTGTTACATTTTCATGAACTCTTGGATACATGAAATATTTACCTTTCAGATGTTCTAGTTTTATATTTCGAAGTTTCAGCACTTCATCTGTAATCTTCTGTATCAGGAAGTTCTGTGTTTTTTCTCGCCGAATAGATTCAACAAGGGTATCTAGTCCTTTAGGGTTTTCTTGTAAGTAGTCTAACAATTTTCCAGCCCTTTTTCTACTTGATGTTCGGCAAGAAATTTCTTCAGTGTCTTCTCTGCTGAGTATTTTTTTTGCACGCAGATGATCAAAATGTCTCTCAGCTATGATTTTTTCACACAGGTACACACGCAAATTTTCTAAAGCCTGAAAGACATAAAATGCTATTATTTTCTTTTTAACACTTAAGGAAATCACTTAGGAATCTTAACTGGTGGGCGAAAACATCTTGAAGTCAGGAGGCTCAGGCTTACTAAAATACATGCTATTAAGATGAAGGTCAAGTAGACAAAAGTAGATCCTAAATTAGACATTCCTTACAGCTTCTGTCCTGCTCTGATCTCATTTTCACACCTATAAACCAAGACGGGAGTATTGTGAGGAGGGGCTGTTCTAATCTAGACAACCTGGGTCCATGGAAATAGAGGTCTGCTGAAGGCCACCTTAGGGGGCTAAAGATGAGAGCAGAGGCTGCCATACATTTTAGTTACTATTTATCAAGGGATCCAGGATTAGTCAGGACCAGAGAGGATAACTTAGTGAGAAGTCTCATAGCTTATAACTTTCTCATGTTTGTTAATTTTCCATCTTCGTAGAGTAAAACCATTTTAAAAAACTCCATTAAACTAAAAGGGTCCATGTGTCTGTCTTTGGAGTCAGTTTGAAAGACTATAACACAGTGAGTCAGTTGGTAGAAGGGAGGTAGAAAGATGTGGGGGGTAAAGAAACCTAAAGGAATAGTGAATGTTGAAATTAAAGAAAGAAAAGGAAATCACAGAAAACAGGACTAGATTTGAGAAGTAGCTAAAGGGGCTTAATTATCAGAAAAATGGCATGCATTAATAAGTAGCATTAATAGTTCGAAGCCAATGACTATATTCTAGCTCTCCCATTTACTACGTATGTGATCATGGGTAACTCCTCTGTGCCTCAGTTTCCTCATCTAAGTGTTACGAGGAATAAAGTACATGTAAAGTTCTTAGAAAAGTGCCTGGTACATAGTAAGTGATCAATAAATGTTACTGATGGTGACAATGATAACTAATGATTTACATTTGTAATGATGAGAAAAGGCAATGGAAAATTTTAGAAATACCATATACTCTTTAGTATATGGTGACAGAAAAGTAGGCTAAGTGAAGGGTTCCTACATTTCTCAGTCCACTGAACCCCCACATTCATTTACTTATTCACGCAACAAACATTTCGTATATCTAGATAGTTANTCTTTAGTATATGGTGACAGAAAAGTAGGCTAGGTGAAGGGTTCCTACATTTCTCAGTCCACTGAACCCCCGCATTCATTTACTTATTCACGCAACAAACATTTCGTATATCTAGATAGTTAATATACCAAATGCTGAGTATGCAAAGATCAATTAAGACTTGTATCCTGCATGCAAAGGGCACATGGTCTAGTTGGAGAATACATACCACATGCAAGCCAATAATTATAAGATAATGTGATATGACCCAGAAATGAAAAGACTATTATTCAAGTACTGGGGAAGCACAGAGTAAGCAATCAATTCTACCTACAAGACTGGGGAAATTTACAGAGGCTACACTTTTGCTAGAGGGATGAAGGTGCACAGTGGGGAAATACTGAGAAGTCTGGGGAGCTGGAACATAGGCTGCATGTGACAGGGTGGTGAGGAAGGTAGTTAGGAAGGAAAACTGGGGTTGAATCATGGAAGAATTTTTATAACATGTTGAGGATCACCCATTTCCCTGTAGTCAAGAGTCATCCAGGGTGTATAAATAAGAAGCAATAAGAAAACTTTTGCAGAGAACTGGGAGGAGCAAAAACTAGGGTCAGAGGAAACCACTTAGAAGATTGCTGCAATATCTTACATAAGATATGTTGAGTGCATAAATTTAAGCTGCGAGGATAGAGACAGACTAGATTTAAAAGATGAACTCCTGCCCTGGCCAGGTAGCTCAGTTGGTTGGAATGTTGTCCTGATACCCCAAGGTTGAGGGTTCGATCCCTAGTCAGGGTACATACAAGAATCAACCAATGAATGCATAAATATGTAGAAAAACAAGAAAAATCGATGTCCCTCCCTCTCAAATCAATAAATTAAAAAAAATAAAAATGAAAGATGAACTTGAAAAACCTCATCTGTTGTCATTTCTACCAACAATATGCTGATGATTCCCAAATTTGTGTATGTGATCAAGACTTTCTCCACCTAGACATCCCAAAGGTACTTCAAATTCAACATGTCCAAAAACAAATTTATCTTCCCCTATTCTTTTCCTCTGATGTTCTCAACTATTCCAGGAGTACCACCACCCATCCAATCATGCTATAAACCTACAACTGATCCTTGACTTTTTTCCCCTCTCTTTCACTCACTTGCCACATCTGATCACCCTCTTACCAACACCTGCTACTCTACCCCTTACATTTTATCTAATCTGCCCCTTTGCTTCATCTCAATTATTAGCATTACTCTAGTTCAGGTCCTTATATGTTGCATGGACTATTAACAATAGATACCTAGCCATACTTCCTACTTCTCTCCTCCCCTCAAATTTCTCCTTCACACATCAAATCTTCCAATTCTTTCAAGACAAAATGGAAATCTGGAGTGTTATATGAAGTCTAATATTGAAATGTTACCAGTTTTTCCCCCTACATTTAAAAATATGTTTCTATTGATTTCAGAGGGAGGAGAGAAACATCAATGATGAGAGAGAATCATTGATCGGCTGCCTCCTGCTCGCCCCGTACTAGGGATTAAGCCTGCAACCCGGGCATGTGCCTTNTCGCCCCGTACTGGGGATTAAGCCTGCAACCCGGGCATGTGCCTTCCCTGACCAGCAATCGAACCTTGATGGCCTGGATCATAGGTTGATACTCAACCTCTGAGCCACGCTGGCTGGGTTACCAGTTAATTTTTTAAAAATTTAAAACACTGTGCTCCATTTTTGACTTAAAAGGATAAATTTCCTCAACAACAGCAGGAGAGTAGAGAAGCCAAGAGCATGGCTCTGATCTCAGACCAACCTCAGTTCAAATCTTGAGAGCTGAGGCAAGTTCCTTAACCTCACCTAAACTTCCTTATTGATAAAATAATAATACTAACTTTGGAGGACTTCTGGGACTAAATGGGGCAGTACATATAAAGGCTTGACACAGTCTGTGACACACAGTAAGTGCTCGATAAATAATAGTTACTTGATAACGGCAGACAGGATACTTCATAGTATGGATGCTACCTACCTCTACAGTTTAATCTATCACCACCTCTATCAGTCCTGGCGCTTTATGTAAAACTGGTGTTTATCGCTCCACATTTCTTTACATTGTCACCTTTGTCTTGTTTTCTCTTCTCTATACCCCAAGTTGCTATTCATCCTTTAAGATCCAGGACAGTGGTCATCTTCAGGAAGCTTTACCTAAGCTCCCCAGAATAAGTCAGGTACTCCTCTCCTCTGTCCTTGTAGTACCCTGTGTATACATTTCACTTTTCTATATATCAGGGCTCCACTTTTCATCTCCCAATTCATTCCCAGACAATTCCATTCTGCCCTATCACTCTTCTCAAAATCACCAATGACCTCCTTAATGCTAAATCTGATACTTTCCAGTCATCTTTACTTCTCAGCAGCATGCACACAGTTGACCACTACTTCCTTAAAATACCCTTTTCTTTTCTTATATGCATACCATACTCTCCTGGCTTCCTTCTCATCTCTGTGGCTCTAACTTCTCACTTTTCAAAATTTGTCCATGATCTCCCTCTTCCCTTCTAGCTCTCAACTTCCTAGATGAATGCATTCAATCTCTTACTTATATTTCCAGCTCAGATCTCTCTTCTGATCTTCAGACTTGTTGGTCAAGTTGCTGACTTGACATTTCCACTTACTAATCTGATTCCACTCTCTTCCTTAACTCAGTTCATCACGAAGGCTGCTCATTCCTATTTCATAAATGCATTTGGAATTCTCCTGCTCCATCCATTTCCACTTCCTTTAACCTGATCCAAATTGCCATCATCTCTCAACTACAATAAATTCTGAGTTTCTTCACTGGCTTTCCTCTTTTCACTTTTGCTCTCCTCAGTCCATACAATAGGCAGAGGGATCTCTTAAAAATACATTAGTTCTTCAACAGGTCCCTACAACACCTGGTAAAAAAATCCAAACACTTTACTACTATCTATAAGACCCTTCATAATATGGCTCTAGCCCACCTTCCTAACTTCACCTCAGGGCACCTTCTGCCTTTTTCCAATTTCCCCAAGTCACAAGGTCTTGCCTTTGCAAATTCTATTCTGCCTAGAATGCTCTCTCCCCACAGTTCTGTCATACCCTTCAGGGACCACTTTAAATGTAACCTTTCCTGATCATACTATCTCAAGTAGATGCCCCCTGTTATTGTCTCAACATTTGTCTGCCTCAATAGTACTTAACATAATTTGTAATTATACATTTATTTGTTTTCAACCCTAATGATCTACATGTTTAAAGCAGGCAAGAACCAGGTATGTTTCGTTTGACTCTACATACCCTGAACTTAGAGTGTGCTAAGTAGCTTTTTGGATGAATGTGTTTTGCAATATAATTATCACTTTATATCTATCTTCCTCTTCCTAAGAAATCAAGCTCTTTTCAAACTAGGATTGTGTCTTAGTTTTAAATGTTTGAACTGTTAGATTCAACTACAGTATCAGTTTCATAGTGGCATGTAATCCACATTAATAAAACTGAACTAAATTCAACCAAAAAGATGACGTGAACAACTAGATGGGGCGGAGGGGAAGGAGGAGTACAGTGAAGAAGTGGGAGTTTCTGGAGGATGGGTTCCAGAGAGCACAGTAGGAACAGCAAGCAGCTTAGGGGAGGGATGATAAAAAGCTCAATTTTATACAAGGGAAGGAATCTGCAGAATATAAGTGGATTTCTAGCAGATATTTGGAAATAAGTGCCTACAGTTGAGAAAGAAGGAAGTCCAATATGTGAATGATAATTTTAAAACCTTCTAAGGTCATAAACCATTTTGAAAATATGATAAAAATTTCGAAAAAAAAAAATATGTGCACATACATTTTTTTTCACAGACCTCTTGAAACCCGTCCATGATTCCTCAAAGTTATGAATTCCTGACATGACTGTAAAATGAAATCAAGGAGACGGATAGTATCAATAAACTCACAGAAAAAAATAAGGTCTGAAAGCCACTCTTCACATGTGTGTTTGTGCACAGGTCTCATATCCTTCTACCTGTAATGTCTCACTGCCTGTTTTATTAGCTGTAAAATGGGAATGACAATTACCTCCCTTAGAGGTTGTTGTAAAGATTCAGTGGGAACACTGTAAATTGTGTGACATAGCACCTGGAACACAGCAAGCCCAGGTCTTGCAGTTCATGGTTTTACTGGCACACACCTTGAATAAGACAACATTCATTTATTATATGTATGTTAACTATCAATGCCCCAGTATTATCTCAACTAGAATGTAAAGCAGGGGCCTGTTACTTTCTGTATCTGTCCAGGCCAAAGGACAGTACTTCCATATATTAAGTGTTTTGTAAATATCTCCTGAATGAAGAAACTAAGGCGCAAGTCCCAGTTATGTCCAGTTTCCTTTGTTAATGAATCCAACTCTAATCACAAGCACAATGTAGTAAGCCTTACAGGGGAGAGAAAAGGAGGGGATTTAAAGTAGATGAACATTTAAAAAGCTGTTGTCCTGTCCAGTTCACAAAGATGATTTTGTAGGTTTTGTGTTGTTAAGCCAGAGCACACTTCATGTTGAGTTTCTGTTCTTTTAAATTTGAATTGATATACACTATTTTAGTGGCAGGCACTCAGAGGTCTCAAACAGCAAAACCACCAAAGGCATAGGAAAAAGAAAAACAAGTCGTATCTCAACAAAGCCATTGTGTACCAATAAATATTAAGATTTTCTGCAGCATCCAAGCAGAACAGACTTTACTACTGAATATTTTCCACGTCTGCTCGTAAATTAATTCTAGGCTACAGGTATTCATCCCCCCTCCCCTCAATTTAAATATGTGGGCGTTTGCTTACTAGGGGAATTCCAGATTGTGCTTTCAGCTGTTGAGCTTCCCCCAACCCCCTTTGTAAAAGAGTTTAACATATTTGCTCCACTGCTTGGGATCCTTCAACGGGTCCAGCCTGTGCTCCAGGTTGAGCCAGCAGCCTGGAGTCTCTGACTCAAGGATGAACGAGAGCCGTCGATCCGCAACGACGCGGCTCCAAGGCGCAGAGGGGCTGAATCACCAGGGGATAGGCGAGGGGTGGGCAAGAAGCAGACTGAGCAGAAGCGCTCCCCTGAAGAAGGTTCCGGACACCCAAGCCCTGCTTTCAGCGATTTAAAACGTGGATTAACAGGTCGCCGGGGATCACTTCCACTAAGTCCCCTCGGACGCCCGGCTCGCGGGGCCCCGTCCGCTCCTCCCACCCGCAGGCTCCTCCTCCGACCCCCACCCGGACTCCGGGTTTCCGCTTTCCTCGCCCTCGGGGCTGCAACCCGTCCCCGTCCGCCCCCAGCCCCCGGGCGTCTGGGCAAGATGGTGCTACTCACGTCCTTCTTCACTTCAGTCAGGTCCTCCTCGGTGAGGGACGGCGCGGTGGACTCCATGGCGGCGGCGGGGCAGGGCGCTTCTTCCGGGTCCGGGAGCTCAGGCTGCGCCGCCCCACCTACACTGGGGGCTTCGGCGTCGGGAGGAGGGGCGAGAAGCGGAGGCGGAGCGGGTCGCGGGGAAGAGCGCAGCCCCTTCGAAAACAAAAGGGCTTGGGGGTCAAACCGTGGCGTTTCCCGCCCTGCCTCTGGGGCGACAGCGACAGACGTGTGTGTCCCGACGCGGTCGCAACCCCGCTCCTTCCCTCTCCTTGAGGCTCCGGCGCAGGTGCCTTCCCTCGCTGAGGCGGGGCCACAGGCGGAGCCCGCCCCTTCTCTGCGGCAGCCAATCAGGGCCAGCCCCGGGCCAATCCTGTCCCCGCCCCCCGGGCCCGGGCCTTTCAGGAGTGGCTCCGCCCACAGTCCCAGGCCCCTGGCTCCGCGGCCGCGGGCAGGCCTCCCGGAAAGGAATCGTTTCCGTGGGTGGGACCGGCGGCCGCTCCGCCGGCGGGCGCTCGCCGCCCTCGCAGGCTGCTCGCGGGTGGAGTCTGGGCCGGGCTGAGCCGTGCCTTTGCGATCCTCCACTTTTCCCAGACCCTGCCCTACAACTTCCGGTTGCTGTTTGCCCACTCAAGTTTTTCAAGTATTAGGTCACACGCAGACACGCGCGGCCTCACTACGATACTAAAGACATTTTTGAGAGAGAAAGACCACCTACCGCCCCACCCCTTGAACACGCAATTGAACGTCTGCGTACTTTTTGGTTACTGTTTATTATCAACGTCGTTCCTTTTTCATCTGTGTGATAAAATTGTGGCTACCTGAGTAGGGCCGCTGTAAGAAATATGATGTGAAGCTTAGAGGTACTGGACACACAAGGTGCACTCTATGATTTATTACCTTGTATTTCTCAAACAGCTGTTACTGATCTGTCCGGGCACCTTATCCTGCACGGGTTCCCCGGTTTCCCGGGAGAGCTGCAGCGCTTCCCTGCGCGGTGTCCCAACAGGGGTACGCAAAGCGACCGGGCCGCGGGCGGGAGGCTCCGGGCAGAGCCCGCCGGCCATCGCCTGGACCACGCGCTGAATAAACTAGCAGCTCCTGGAAGCTCCAAGGGTAGGTAAAAATGACAAGACAACGAAAGACAAACGGGGCAACCCTAATATTTAAGGGTAGGGAAAGCAAAAGAACCAGAAAAGAAAAATGTTGCTAAAGCCACACCAATGTAGTTTTTTCTGTTTTTTTTCCCCACACCAATGTAGTTTTGATCACCACGCGGGGATTCTGCTTTTAACATTAACATTATATCCCATGTCTTTTTCCATACTGATATGCAGTGTTTTTTCTGATTGCCTAATCTTCCATCGTCGTGGTATTACCCAATTTACTTAACGATTTGTTCTTTCATTTCGCAGCTATTTATTGAATGTCAGCGAAGTGCCGGATGCTGTTCTAGGTACGTGAGGAAACAGCTGCGAGCAAAATAGATTTACTTCTGTTTCCTTCTGGAGTTTAAGTTCTAGTGTATGTGTGTTTGGGGCGGGGCACATAGACGTTTGGAAAATGTTATGTAAGTTATTTATTATGTTAGAAGATGACAGACACTAAGAGAAAGTATAAAACAGGGAAGCAGGACGAGGCTTCACGGAGTGGCAACCTTTAAAATACAGTGGTTAATGAAGACTTTCCGAAAAGGGGAGATTTGAGTTAGCACTTGAAAGAAGCGAAGAAGGAGCCATGTGGACATGTGGAGAAGGAACATAGGAGCAGGGAGAACAGCCAACGAAAAGGATCCAGTGGGACTGGGAAGGACATGAGGTCCGTGTGTGCCACCGTGAAGTTTGCCCCGACTCTGTTCTGAGTCATGTGGATTCACTCTGAGTCAGATGGGAAGCCACTGGAGGGCTCTGAGCCCAGGAGTGACATAATCCGATTTATGACTTGAAAAGGAGCACTTTCACTGCTGCCTTGAAGGGAAGGAGGGTGGTACAGGGCAGACCAGGTAGGGAACTGTTTTCCATAATTCAGCCCCCAGGACGCGGTGGCTCAGAACAGGGTTGGTAGCAACGAGGATGGTGAGAAGTGGGGAAATGGGGAAGTGATTTCATTTCCTTTTAAGAAGATCACTGTGGCTGCTGAGTATAGAGGAGTAGACTGTAGGTGTCAGGGAGGAAATAGCCGAGCTGGAGGCTATGGCTGTGAGCCAGGCAGAGGGGAGGGGGGTGTGACTGGGGTGGGAGCAGTGCTGAGCACTCCTCCGTGGCTCCCTTGTTATTCCCAATTTTTCATTGTTGTAAGACATTTGTCCCCCCATTTTTCACCTACATATCCCCCATCCTTTTTTGGTTTTGAATTATCATTTTCTTTGCATAAACTCCCAGGAACAGGGGTATAGACTCCCAAGGAAATGATTACTTTTTGTCTTTTCATATATATTCTCATAGGTTCCCTCCAGAGAATTGACCCATCCATGTGTGGAAACAACATTTCTGATTCCTGAGCCTTCTTTCTCGACACTTACTATACATCTGACTTTCCGGGTCGCTGACCACCATTTCATTTCTGACACCTCCAACCCTCTTCTGTCTTCGATATTCATTCCCTTATTATTTATTCAACTAAAAAGTTATGTCTGCTGTGTGTCAAAATGGGGGTCATAGAATGAGGTGCAGATGAATCCTTAGGAATTTTTAACAGCAAAAAGTTTAATAGTTTGTTTTTGAGGCCATGTCTCAATTTTCCCAAGTCAAATTGTGTCAAAGCAGCCATACCTGAATGCCATGTGCCTATCACAGAGCTAGGTCAAGGCTGGCATTGTAGTTCCTGCTTTTTTTCTAGTGTATCATACTTCCTTCACAAGCAAACTCATTTCCACTTCTCTGCTAAATCATAGGGTCAGACCATAATGAAGGTTGGGCATATTTTTCAAGAAAATAGCCCTGCCCATTCTCTACCTTATAATAATTCTACGTCCTCCCATCCCCTACACCTCCCCATCCCCACCCCCAACTTCTAGGTGCACCATCTGCCTCCTACTGTGAAATACGAGGCATCTGATTAAGATACTGTGAAGGACACAGTTTAGGCACTTCAAAATAAGGCAGCATATGCTAGTGGTTAAGAATGAGAATGTTTGGCACTTGACAGACCTAGGCTGGATTAATAGTTTCCTAGGGCTACTGTAACAAATTACCTCAAACAGGGTCATCTTAAAACAACAGAAGTTTATTCTCTCACAGTTCTGGAGACTGGAAGTCCAATATTAGCAGGGCGATGCTCCCTCTGAAGGCTCTAGGGAAGAGTCTTCTTGTTTCTTCCTAGCTTCTGCTGGTTGCCAGCAACCCTTGGTGTTCTTTGGCTGTGGCAGCCTAGTACATCTAATCTGGTGCCTTCCTCTTTACATGGCCTTCTTTCCTGGTTTCCTCCTATGTCTCTGCTTCCAAATTTTCTTCTTTTCATAAGGACGCTAGTCATTGGATTTAGGGCCTACTCTAATACAGTATGACTTTATCTTAACTTGATTAAAGACACTATTTTCAAATAAGGTCACGTTCCGAGGTCCAGTAGACAGACTCCTCCCCTAGGTGTCTAAGCACAGAACACAGCTTGCTGTAACTTTTAGCATGTATTTACTCCACATAAAAATAACAGAAGGAAAGTTCAAAATCGAGGATAACTAATATGAGAGGTGACTACCCTTAAGAGCTTGCAGGCTTAGACCCATCATGCCTTAGGTTGTGTTCCCCAGAAACTGACTCAGAGGCGTGGATTTGAGGAAGTAGTTCATTTGGCAGATAATCCCTGGA